CCCCCCCCCTCCAGTGATTCTTAAGGGGGTTAGCTCCAGCACAGGCCGACCAGACGTTGTCTGCGTATCGATTTCACCTCAGCAATTTTCGTCTTGCCGGGTACGAGAGGAGAGCGCTCCGAGGTGTTTCTCGCCGGGATGATGGTGCCGAGAGGCCCCCCCTTTTATGATAAAAGAAGAGAGAAATAAAAATGGAATAAAAGTGGCCGAAGGAGATTGGAAATGTATCGCAGTGTAGATATCAACGTACAAAGATCGATTTTCAGCGTTCGACGAGGCGCGGCCACAACTACCAGCAGGTCCTGTTCCCCTCTCTCTCTCTCATTTCTCTTCTTCCTCCAGCTGCGCCCCCAGGTTTTTGCCTCGGTCCTCGCCCTTATCGTTTCCTTTCGGCTGGCTTTCTTCTTCTTCTCGAGGGTTCTTTTTTTTCACGCTTACCCCCCCCACCCCACCCCCTAAACCAGAACGTCAGGAACTTCACACGACTTCTCGCATTTCCAAAACGTTTTTCTCTGGTTTATACCGTCGTTACAATCTCTATCGCAGAGTTGTGGGAAAAGAGACACCGGGAGGAGGATTTTAATCGCGAATTGGTGAAAAAATGTTGATGATTTCAGGGGAAGGATTAATTAAATAAATTGATGACTAGAGGTTTGTGAGCCAGTGGTTGGACTAATGTGTGGTATATCCAACTGACTGGTGGCAACCTCTTTACTTCCCTTTTCTCTTAGTCTCTACACGTGGGGGGCGAGTCCTCACGTACAAGGCATGTGAGTACTAAGCAATGAGGCCTCCGCTGATTATCGGAGTAATATTTTATCGTGATAAAGTTTCTTTTTTAAAAATGCACTTTCCTAGGGTCTTTTACTTCGTGTTTTCTCGATGTCCGTTGTCACTCCCTCATATCCCATGTATTCACCAATGAAGAGGACACCGTGTGCAGCAGGAATTGATCGTCGATTAATATCTCAGTGTCACCAGGCGTTGATTCACCGACGGCTCTCAATTTTCGATTTAAAAAAAAAACTAGAGAATCTCAGGGCCACCTTTGTCCCTCCACCGACGGCCACAACACTATTATTATTTTTTTCGCTCTCCACGGATAACACTGGTATGTTATTTTACTTTGTTCACCGGCAAATGACGTCCTCCGGAAGATTAACCGCACAAACACCAGCCTCAATTCCCCTTATTTTTTCTTATATCACCCAGTACACAAAAAGGCACGTTGTTTCTTCACGCTGGTGGGTAATCTTGACTTTTATGTACGTCGCTTTTATTACTCTTCCCTCAACTCTTTCATTCCCTCGAAAAATAAAGCCACAAGAACTTTTCAAAAACTCAAAACCATCGAATTGTCCCTCTCACTTCCAAAATCGAGGTCCCAGAGTAAAACAAAACAAAAATTAACACAAAACAAAAACTAAATCAACAGCGTTGCAACGTGTCTCTGCAAACGAAATATTCTCCTTTTATTTAAAGAATAAAAACCACTAACACCAGCTCTTGCTTGTTTTAATGTACAACACGCCCGACTATCTCGCGACGTCGAGTGTCGAGCTCCGACTGAGTGCCTCGGCCCTCTCTTCAGTCGTGGCTTCTCGGTAGGCACTTTAATATCTCCGTCCTCCTCGCACTCGCCTCCCTCTCTTTCATTCGCTCAAGTGCATTAGCATCGATCGCTCTCTCTCCCACCCGTGTTCGTTTGGACACCCCCCACCCTCCGGCACACCCCCCGCCCCTTGTCTGCCCTTCCTTCCGGAACCCCCGGGCCGTAGTCTATGCTCGTTCGTCTGTTCTGTTCTGTTCTGTCCCACCCCTTGGCTCTCTCACTCTCTCTCTCTCTC